GGGGAGGGGAGCCAGGAGGGAGGGAGGGAGGGAGGGAGAAATGACTCGCGAGGGGGTGATCCATAATATTTATTTCCACAATAGCTTCAAATCTTTTTAAACATCCTCAGAACACGGCTCATTAAGCCCACAACAGCCTTGAAATTGTGTTATAAAACCGCAACACGGAAATCGATGCATTGGCTAGAAAGGCGGTAATGAAATAGATCGCGTTGCCCGAGAAGAGGTTGGTATGGATCATAATATTATTATGGGCGCATCCATCCCACTTCCAATACTTAAAGTTAACCAGCGAGGGAAGAGCGCCCCGAACCCTCGTTAAACACGCGGCCGGGGTGACGGGGCCGGGCCAGGAGGGCGCATCCCATAAATAACCCGGGGAGGGGCCGATCGATCGATGCTGCGCACCCCTGAGCGTCAGCTGCCTGCAGCCCAATAGCTCTGTGGCCTGGTCAATAGGGGCTCACAATGGCCGGGGGCGGGCTGCGGGTCCACAGCTCCCAGCCCTGGGGTTCGGCCAGCTGCTGGGCCGGCCCCTCCTCACCAAAGTCTGGGCTTCCCTCCTGGGCCCTCTGCCTCTCTCCCCACCCTGCTGTGTGAGACTCTCAGACCCCAGCCTCTGCCCCAGCAGCCAAGGAACCACCCAGGGGGTGACCAGAGGTTGTCCCCCCATTCCTCTATTTTGGGGGGAGTTGATGTCATTTTTTATTTTAATTCTGTCAGTGGATTAAAACCAGATGCATTTTCCTCCTGCTCCTAGCGGATAGATGCCGAAAGAGGATCCCCTCCTGTAATGTACAGGAAGCTAAAAGATGGGGCTATGGACAGGTTTGGGGGGCCTCTGGTTGATGCAATGCGGGGGCCCCTGTAAAGAAAAACTATCTTACTTTTGCCCGGCGGGTGTGGCTCAGTGGTTGAGCATCGACCTCTGAACCAGGAGGTCAAGGTTGGACTCCCGGTCAGGGCACGTCAGTTGGTTGCGGGCTCGATCCCCAGTGTGGGGCGTGCAGGAGGCAGCTGGTCCGTGATTCTCTCTCATCATTGGTGTTTCTATTTCTCTCTCTCTCTCTCTCCCTCTCCCTCTCCCTTCCTGTCAGAAATCAATAAAAAAAATCTTACTTTTGAAATGTTCATACAAAAAACATATGAACACAGAGGCGAGGCCCCTCGCCGCCTTAGGGGTGGCCTGACAGGGGGAGCCCCCACGCGGGTCCCTCTGAGCTTCTGGGAGAGTCCGGCCCAGAGGAAGGCCAGGCCCCCTACCATCACCTCCATTTCTATGCCGCCTCCACCCTCAGGAGTGGAGGCTGCGGGGGCTGTGGTCCTTCCTCCCTCCCTGTCCCGGCAGCACAGAGCCCGTCATAGAGTGGGTGCGCGGTGGGCAGGAGGACCTGGGAGTGGACGGCTCTGCCGGGTCTGCCAGGGACCCCCAGCGCATGTCCCAGCCACAGAGGCTTCTCCGAGGCCTCGGGCTGGGCAGCCTCCGCACCGGCCCTCTCACTCAGCCTGTGGCCTCTGCCCTGTGCGCTTGGAATTTGGACTGACTGTGCAAACACGCGCTGGCCGCCCCGGAGCGTCCGGAGGGGGTCAGTCCCACGCACGCACAGGCAAACCCTCCCCCTGAACACGTGCGCCCCCAAAGCTGGGCCAGTGAAGGCAGGCCTCCCCAGACGATCTACATTTGGGGAAAGACTCTTCCTGTCTCCGTAGATTCCAGAAAAGCAGGCCATGAAGGCCCCAAAGAGCAGTTCTCAATGAGGGGACATCGGCGATGTCTGGAGGCATCTTTGGTTGTCAAAAGCTGGGGTTTAGGGCCTGAGAGGGGGTAGGTGGTGTTACTACTGACATTTAGTCGGTGGAGTCAGGGCTGCTGCTCAGTATCCTACAGGACACAGCACAGCCCACAGCAAAGAGCTGTCCCACCCCTGCCCCCAAATGGCAATGGGGCCGTGACTGGGACATCCTGGGCGGAGGCTGCGCCAGAGGTGTCTCTGTGGCCAGGGTTCCCGGGGCTGCGGCCCTGTCTCGGCCAAGGCGCCTTGGACACTCTCTCTAGCAGAGGGGGTGGGGGTGGAGCCCCCATGCGCCCCTCCTGATGTCACGGCGGGGAGCACGGCCCCATCCCAGCTCTCCCCTCGAGGACCACGGACCCACCCCGTCCCCGATACACAGCCACACAGCCCCGGGCCGTGGCTCCGGGACCCCGCGAGGACAAGCCCTTGTCTGACCCCGTCCAGCGCACCAGCGGGTCGCCCTTCCCGGAGGCTGGCCAGCTCGGCTCCCGCCCGGCCTTTGAGGCACCTGACTCATCAGAAAGGCTCGTACAAATAGGTCATCGATTTTGAAATCAGTGGCATCACCTCCGCTCCCCATAATCCCCCTCCCCCGTCCCAGGCACACCCAACACCCGCCTCACACACCCCTATACCCCCTGCTCCGGCCACTGCGCGGGCGCATGCCACACACACACACACACACACACACACACACACAACCTCCCCCGGTCCCACCACACACTTGCCTGTTGCACTACTTGGAGAGCCGGTTCAGACTCTGCAGTCAAAGGCAGGTGTTAGACCTGGAGGTCCCTGGCAGTGATGTTTCCAGCACGAGACTTCCTCCCCTCCCACCCCCATCCTATTCTTTTTTTAAAAAAAATATATTTATAAATTTTTTTTATTGATTTCAAAGAGGAAGGGAGAGGGAGAGAGAGATAGAAACATCAATGATGAGAGAGAGAATCATGGATCGGCTGCCTCCCGCACGCCCCCCACTGCGGTTCGAGCCCGCAACCTGAGGATGTGCCCTGACCCGGAATTGAACCGTAACCTCCAGGTTCATAGGTCGATGCTCAACCTCTGAGCCCCTCCGGCCAGTTCCTGTGCCCCTCCTCCCTCCTCCCTTTTGTCCCCAACACTGCCTGTTGCCTCATTCCAGCCCATCTTGGCCACTGGTCTACTTCTGCTGGGAAGACCCGTGGTCGCGTGGAATCGCAGAA